TATATATATATATATATATTTATAGTAAAATAAATTATTTATATTAGCTTTGGAGGGTAGAGATAGGGAGTAACATCTCTTATGGGAGAAAATGTGAAAAAGTGTCCAGCGTTTTCTTTAAATAATAGTTCAAAAACCTTCCAGAATGGTGCTGGTGTAGATAAAAGGTATGGTATGAATGTAGCAATTGTAAATGAATTGAAGTATACCGAGTTATGTAATGTAGTAAATATAACTTTAAAGAATTATTATGAGGAAACGTGTAACTAGAGTGATTTTATTTTGTGAACTGTAAATAGTACGTTTATTGATTTTTTATCATTTAATTTTATGAAAAAGTATGTGAATAACAAAACAGTTATCGGTAAAATTTGTATTGTAAAATTTGTGTTCCTTGTTTATTTCTCAATCCTACTCTAGCAATATTTGGCGCTCCTTTAAAATTTACCCTCAAGCTATTGTGGCGCCATCCTAATTGAATTCACTTCGACGGACACTTTTCATATACAAAAATGTTACTCCTTACCTCTACCCACCATAATATTAGCCCGGGTTTTAAACTTTATGGCGTATTTAAAATTAATATCAAGCTACATCCAATTAGACATGACTGTGAATTCTAACCTTTTAATTTTCACCAATCAGCGGTTTATCTACTAATGGTTTATTTTTATTGGTCATTGTATTAATCGAATAGTTTTTATCCAATGTTTTATTTTTATTGGTTGGTAACGAATTTAAACCAGTGAAGCCAGGTTTTGTAACATTTCAACGCCTTCTGTCGAGCCCAGCATGCCTCGCACACAACAAAATTTACGCGTCGGTGAGTGGGAAAACCGAAAGAAGCCGAGGGAAGTCGAGATAGCTGCGCGACAGAGGAGAAATAATACCCCCACCACGCGCCGCGAAGAAATACATGGACACAAACACATTTGAACAATGTGTAAAACAATGTGTATTGTGTCCATGTATTTCTCCGCGGCACATGGTAGGAGTATTATTTCTCCTCTGTCGCGCAGCTAACCTCGGCTTCCCTCGGCTTTTTTCGGTTTTCTGACACACCGACACGTAAATTTTGTTGTGTGCTGGGCTCGAGAGAAGGGGTCGAAATGTTCCGCGATCTGGCTTCACAGATTTAAACGTAAACTGACAAAGTTAAGAGTACATTTCTGAAGTAAAATAAAGTAAATAGCTCTTTCACTTACAAAACGTTTTCTGTACAGTATATAAGGTAAAAAAAATCGTGTAATTAATATAATATATTATTAATTTTTAAAGATATGTCTAATATATTGATTTATTTGCAATATTATTTTTTATATATAATATTTAATAATAATTGATTTATTTGTTTAGGATTATATTTCTTCAGTTTTCATACAACAATAGAAGATAAAGAAAACATTAAAGAATAAAGAAAAAAGTTTGTTTTTATAAAAGTTTCATTAGATAATAGAATTAAATATAAATTATTAAAAATGGCTAGAAGAACTTTAACAAATATAGTGATAGATTCAAATAAGACCGATGTTCCAACCGTCTCTTCTCCATTGCGTAGAAAAACGATAAACATAACAACAAGAGTGTCACCTTTGGTAGAAAATGATGATGAAACAGAACGCTTAGCTTTGAGACGTAATGTTACTCCAAGTACATCAATTAATACATCTAATGAAAGAAGACAATCGTTAGGCATAAGCTCTTTAGCACAAATGCCAGAAACTAAAATGACCGAGCTCATATCTGAATATATCAAATTGAGTACTGAAAATAAAATCAATCCTAAAAATGCATTTAGTTTAAAAATGATTGATTATATGACGTACATGGTTACTAAAAGATATTCAGAAATGACTAATTTGCAAATGGCTAGCACATCGTTGGATGTATGTGCCAAAATTTATGGGTATCGCATTGACGGTATGTACACAGACGTTTTAAAAATGGTTGGTGCATTGGATAAACAAAAGGAGGATAATTCAACTGATATGGAAATAGCACAGTCTAACAATGATTCAGATGGAGAAGAAGAAGAAGTAAAAAGTCAAACGAAGAAAAAAAAGAAAAAAGGAAAACAAAAGATTCTTAGTACAGATGATGCATTAAGTGGAACAATAGAAACAATGGTACCCTCGCGAATGACTGTAGGAAAAGGAGATTTATGTTCGTCTGATATGCTCTACCAAATAGTGTTACCGCATCTTGCTAATTCAGGCTTTTATCATAATATATGCAATGATATTATTTTAGATCAATTAAATGAAACAAATGAAAATAATGAAAATTGTCCTACTTATACTATATCAAAGATAGATGATATTTCTCAGTTAGATCTGTTTCCGAGCATGCCTGATTTTCAATTTTTAAGATGGTCATTRGAAGATGAAGAAGAWATCATAGAGCCTGTACAAGAAAACAATGAAAATCAACAATTTCATTTTGATCTTGATGCCAGTGTACCTTCTGCAGATGAAGAGTATTTTGAAGAAGCGAATTATTATCAAATGGATACAGATACAAATGATAAAAATATGTGTGAGAGAAATCCGAAACAAACGGAAAATATAGTAGATTTTCGTAAAATTATGACCGAACAAATAATGCAAAATGAGGAAATGCCAGAATATTCTTTCTTAAATAAAAATATGAATTCAATTCATTGGGCAGGACCTTCTTATTGGAAACATAAAGGTCTAAAAACATTGTTAAGTAGTAGCAAAGTAGTAGAAACTTGTCAACATACTGCACGTAAGAAGAGAAAAGAATTTGAACTTTCATTCACGAACGAAAATAAATCTGTATTGGATCAAAAGTTTGAATGTAGCAGAGTGAACAAAATAAAATTGATAACAGCAAGAGACAATTGGACGGAGGAGAAAATAACATTACCGGAAGATATGCATTACGATATTACAAAATTAACTAAATTATATCTTTGTCCTTCAATCTCTTCGTATCCTAACTCAGAAGGTCCACTAAATTCAACACAACTGCCTGAAGATATAGAAGATTATGATTATAACAATGATAATGATGTATCTAACTTTTGTCCTGGTATAGATGTCGATTGCGATGCACAAGATAGAAATGATTCAGATGAAAATCCAATAGAAAATCCGATACCATTTACTAATGATAATTTGGTAACAGCACCTACATTAATTAATAAAATTATTGCGAGGTATCCTACACGTGCTAAAAAAATTGACATGCATCAATTAAAGAAAACAATATGGAAAGCTTTTTCGGAAAAGAAAACTGATACTGATAATAAAGAAGAAACGCAGGAAAATGATCGAACTAGTGGCTCCATAAATTTCAGCGACATTTATAAAACTTTACCTGCTGAACTTTCTCAATGTAATGCTGAAGCATTAAGCGTTCCCATTGCAATAGTATCACTGCTTCAATTAGCCAATGAAACATCTTTAATGCTCTCTTCTACTTCAGATGGTTCAGATATTATTATGCAAGAAGAATGATTTTTAAGTAAAGAATATTGATAAGTAATTGTAGGAATATTGATTTTTAAATATGTATTTTTTAATTAAAATATAATATTGTACATCTGTTGCCATATTAAAAGTAAAAATGTTTAATATATTTTTAATAAATGACTAATACAATTAAAATTGAATTAAGTATTAATTTCAATAATGATGCTAAAATACATTTTTTATGAAAACTAAAGTGACTTCTGTAAAAACCATCTGCTGACAGATTATCTAGAGTGTCTAATTAAACTCAAAGAATATAGAATTATATAGATCATCAAAAGTGCACAATACGAGTAAAAAAATTCATCTTAGTTAGTACCGGGATCACCAGTGGACGATAGCAGGTAAATATTTTTTAATCGTTAACCTACAAAAAATTCCATTGTCGATAAGTTACCGACACATTACCCTTTCAATAATATACCGAACAGTCGATAATCTACCGACCGCGGTTTTCTTCTTTTGCTTTCCTTCTTTTCTCTCTTTCACTTTTATATATTTCATGTATGTTCTACATTGCTGTTACAGATAAAACTTATACTATGGGACTAGTTTGGAAAATTATCAAATTCCCATAATTTTTGACTACTTCAAAAAGTTTCCTGATACGAGGATCATCAACGCACAACAGGGGCTTAAGGACAACGAAATATGTTTTCAACAAGATAATTAATTTACAGGAAAGTTATCGACAGAGAAAATTGTTGCTGTCGCATAAGCAAAGAGTTTATCCTTACCTTAACCTAACCCAACTGAATTTTATTTAGTGCTACATTCTTATGGTGATCTGTTTGTAAGCAGCTAAGATGGCTTCTGCTTTAGAAAATTTAGAAACACAATTAGAACTTTTCATTGAAAACGTTCGACAAATTCGTATAATAGTTAGTGATTTTCAACCTCAGGGACAAAATGTGCTTAATCAAAAAATGTAAGTATCTTATATTTATATATATGTATACATGCTTGGTTATGATATTTGATTAAAATAGGTTATGTTTCTAGATTTATTATTTTCAATTTAATACGTATAATAAAAGAGATTATTATATATACCTTAGTTTCTATAACTTATACGTTTCTTTTTCTTATATATTTTTATATAGACAAGGATTAGTCAACGGATTACAAGAAATAGATAAACTCAAGTCACAAGTTCAAGATGTGCATGTTCCTTTGGAAGTGTTCGAGTAAGTTGTTATGATGCATTGTATTTTATGATTCAATGTAATATATCTAATGATTAATATCTATAATAAAACAATAAATTTAATGATTTATTACATTTCAGTTATATCGATCAAGGTAGAAATCCACAGTTATATACTAAAGATTGCATTGAAAAAGCGTTAACTAAAAACGAACAAGTTAAAGGAAAAATAGACGCATATAGAAAATTTAAAGCTAATATGTTAGTGGAATTAAATCGAGTTTTTCCAAATGAATTAGCTAAATACAGAGCAGTACGTGGAGATGAATGAAGGAAAATCTAAATATCAAACGATTCATTAAGGCTGATATATATATATATATATATATATATATATAATACATGTGTATGAATTATTTCATTATCAGATCTTATGTTTGCTTAATTGAAATGATTTATTATTTTGTATATATTAGACGCGAATTGTAATCGTTTTTATTACTATTTATAATTTCAATAATGATAATAATAATAATAATAATACTGATGTTTTTCTAAATGATGTATATTACGTTTACTTTTTGATCTCTCTCTCTCTCTCTCTCTCTCTCTCTCTCTCTTTCTCACTCACTATTAGTATAATTTAATGTTAAGAATATATGAACTTTTTATTTAGATATAAGTATAATTAATTAAATTTTACACAAGTATAATTAATATCTGAAATAATACAGAAGTCATATAGTTCTTTCGTTATACTTGGAAGAAATGAAATGAAAATACTTTATAATGATCTAAAAGTTGCATGCATCTTTTTTTAATCTATGACAAAATTATAAACGAAATATTAGATGAATATATATTAATCAAATTTTTGTGAGATTAATCTACGACGAGTTCATGTATTACTATAATATGAATATTTGTTACTAAACAACAGTGTTACTCAAACTGTATTTACAATTTTCTTTCTTTTTTTTTGTTTTTTTTTTAAATTCCACAAGATGATGATGATGATGATGATGATAATAATATTTGTCTAAAATTATATCAATAAATACAAAATATGTGATTAACACATTTGAATTCAATTTGAAAATCAAAATGTGTGTGTGTGTGTGTGATTGGTTTTTTAAATTAGAAATATTATCTATTAAATTAAATAAACAACAAGTATGACGAGTCTTCTTCATTTTGTTATGATTAATGTCTGTGAAATATCATTAATATTTAATAGAATTAAAACAAATGAAAATTTGTCGGAATATGAAAAGATTAAAATTGTTTTTTTTTTGTTTTATTAATTCTTTGTTCATTTTATA